GGAAGTTTTTAAGAAGAGACTGGACAGCCATTTGTCTGAAATGGTATAGGGCTTCCTGCCTGAGCAGGGGGTTGGACTAGATGACCTCCAAGGTCCCTTCCAACTTTATTATTATTATTATTATTATTATTATTATTATTATTATTATTATTATTATTATTATTATTATTATTATTATTATTATTATTATTATTATTATTATTACTGTACAGCAACAGCATTCCCTATATCTCTCCATACCTTTCTGTTTCTTTCAGTTATTCTAGTTTTCATGGTACCCATATGCCACTTCATTAATTGTCCTTAGTTCTTTAAACTTCTCATCTGTCTCTTTTTAGAGGAATTTATCAATGCCGTCCAAACATAACTTTCTTGGTCTTTTCCTTCCTCTCAATCCAATCACTCTTCCCTCACATATGCTTCTTCTTGACTCTCCTAACTAATTTCTTGCCAGCTCCTAGTTCCAATAACCCTACATAACTTTCCTTTTTTGTTGTGAGAGATAATTGTATTAACATTTTTTATTCTTCTCCTTTCCTATGTTCGACAGATATTTTATAGCAGTAGAGGACGAGAAAATTCTTCCACTAAATGTGCCATACAGGTAAAACACTAATTTTTGAAAATATTCATTTCCTTTCTTCTTATCTGGCATTTAAAGGCTTCGCTAGGCTCGTTTCCAAAACAATGTTAGGAGCTGAACTCTCTGGCCATCTATAATAAAATAGAATTAGCTTCCCTTAAGCGTGAAGTGCCTTTTTATAAGCCTTTTTTATTAACTCGAGTTCCAACATACATGTTAATGCTTTTTTAATAAGGCTATGCAGTGCTCGGGATTTAATTCCCAAGAGGTATTTGAAACTTCAAATCTGTGAAGGTCACCACTATCTGTAACTCTTTAAAGTAGCCATGTCTTTTCTGGGGATGGCAGTTGCATGATCTCAGAAAAAGACACGACTGCTTTAAAAAGTTGCAGATGAATGCTATAATTTTGCTCCCATCCATTTTAAAGAACCTTCGAGTCACTGACTCTGAGGCACTGCCCAGCCATAGCCATAGAGAGTATTCATATGTCATTAGCCCATTCTCTACTAATAACTCAATATGGTGTAAATAACCCAAATGTGGATCAGTGAAAGTAGATTAAAAACAAAGACAAGATGTCCAGCCTGTTTAATTGTGCAGTTGATCATTAGTATCTCATAGTGTTGAGCCATATAGCACAAGAGTCTACTTTTTTCTTCTTCGCTTTGTGTTTGAGCAACATTCTGAGATTTGCCAGTTGAATCCAGTTACCAAGTGGTAGCCCAAAGAACAGAGCTGGTCTTGATTATCACCATGCCTTGTAAACCTTATACTCTCCAGCATATAAGCGCTATATTAATATAGAAATTAAAAAAGAAGAATGAGGACAAGGAGAGATGAAACCACAGTAGAGGGAGCAAGTTGGCCATTTCTGATACAATGATACCTTGATACTCGTTATTAATTGGTTCCAGGAGGTGCGACAAGTACTAAATGATGAGTGCCAAACTAACCACGTGACTTACCATGTGACCCTTTGTTTTGGACAGGAAGGACTTCCTGTCTGTCCCTTTTCCTATGCCAGTTATTCCCAGTTTGGCTGACTTCCTGCCCACCCTCTGGCGGCCGTCCCCCTTTTCTTTTTGCATCAACCTTCCTCACATAGCCAACTTCCTATCTGTTCTCTGCAGCTGTCCCCCTTTTCCTATTGCAGTGCGTCGAGTTCCAAACAAACAAGTACTGGGACAATATTTTCGCATCAAAATGCGTCGAGTACCAAATTCAATGAGTTTTGAAGCACACTGTACCACTGTACAGGTACCACTGTATATCGAAGGGTGCTATAATTATATTGAGCCAGCAAAGAGAATTACTAACAAAATTGTGCCACCAGAAGAATTGGTGTACATGCAGTATAGCTTGAAAAAAGCAAATACCATTTGCACAATTGATAATAAGAATTAGGATAGAGGAACTGATAGAGGAAGAGACTCTCAAGATGAGTTTTAAGGGGCAATCTATAAAGCCATGGCAAACAGTTTAGATCAGACATGTCAAACAAAAGGACCGGGGGCTGGATGCGGCCCGCGAAGTGGTTTCATGTGGCCCGCAAAGCCATCCTAGAAATAGTGAGGGAACGGCCCCCACTGCCTTGGCCCTGGCCCTGGCCGGCCAGGAGCCAATGTACAATTTTGTGGTGGCCATCTATGCTGAAACACATTCAGTCTTAGCTCCACAAGGCCGTCTAGAAACAGCAAGGAACCAGCCCCTGCCGTGTCGCCCCCGCCCCCTGGGTTCATGCTGGGGAGGTATCACCCTTTGTGAGGAATGAAGAAATGGACCATGCCTTGGCACTTGCCCTGGTCCCACCCCCTTCTGCCAGAGACCCTCAGATCTGTCCCATTCCTGCCCAGGCCCCCACAGGCACCCTTGACGCAAACAATGTAGAGCTGGCCATGCCCACCCAGTAGCCACACCCACTCCATCCACACCCACCCAGTAGGCCGCACCCACCCTGGCCACACCCACCCAGCCCCCCAAGGGCAACCACAATGCTGATGCGGCCCTCAATGAAATTGAGTTTGACACCCCTTGTTTAGATCATAGACACCTGCTGAGTTTCCTTCTTTTCCTTTTGATTCAGAAGCAAAGACCTTCTGATCTAATTCAAACAAACACACACATATATACCAGGAAGAGTAAGAAGAAGCACAATCATCATTGCCCAATGCTTGGGAGGAGTTGGAATGCACCTATCCTTTCTGTACAGCTCAAGGACAGATAGAATATTTGTAGCTCGGGGTTGAATTGTGGGGTCCTTGGTGCTCTCTGAGTTTGGTACTTTTCTTGCAAGAGAGCAAGGAGAGAGTGCCCCAAGGAGTCCACAACTCAAGAAGAGGAATCGAATTACATGCCCCATTCTGAGTGCTGAGGTGAAGGAAAGATTATGAGAAGAACTACTTGATGTATGCACTTTCCCACCATCATGGCTCTCTGTGATGGGCACACACCTTCATTCAGAAATGGAGACCAGTTCTCAAGAAGGCAGGAACAGTTGGGAGAACAGAATGCAGAAGGAGACTTGGGATATCTTAAAGTTGGGGAGGACCTCACAGAAAGAATTTCCTCAGGGTTCACAGCCATGACTTCTAGAAATTGTTATTTACGGTGAAAAGCCTTCCCCAATCTTGCATGTCCAAATATGTGGATCCTGAACTCTAGGGTTCCCCCACCCTCAATATTGCTGACAATTTTGGAGTAGAAGTCCACATGTCCAGGTGTCCAGATTGAAGAAGATTGCTGTAGATGTTTTTGGTAAATTGCAATCAGAGCTCTGTTTCATCTTGTTTGAAAGTAGATCATTTGTTTAAAACTAGACATTTCTATGCAAAACAAGTTCAATAGCACCAAATGATTAATGCTGTCATTCTGACTTAGGTGTGATTAGTTTCCTTTTGTGTCCCGCAGCAAACCAACTTCTTTAAAGCCGCCATATATAAGGTAATCATGTCTGTTCTCTTCTCTTGTCCCTTCTCTTTTTTCCCTCCTTTTCCCCAACAAGATCTGTTCTACCCTGTGCATTTTTAATTGATTTATTTACCTTTGTTGCAGGCTTAGTAGATTTACAATGAAACACATTATATTTTTGAAGTATTGCAGGTGATGTCCCTCCTGCTAGCTGTGTATTTAGCCAAGTCATGAACATGGCAGCATTCCTAGGTAGGCGTTGCATGAAGAATGTGTGACTTCTTTTTTTTATCTCTTCTGATTCACTGTAGAGAATCTCCTGTTTCAGCCAAATCCGTGTCATTGAGACCTAGTGAGCAGCAAGCTACAAGGGCTAAATTCTCTCTGAGGTGGTAAAGTTGGGTCTGGGCTAGAAACAACTTCACATCCTCCAATTATTATAGTAAAAAGAAAGTTAGCATGTCTAGGAAAAAGCTAGGCCAGTGGTGGCGAACCTATGGCATGCGTGCCAGAGGCGGCACTCGGAGCCCTCTCTGTGGGCACGCGTGCCATGCCCCAGAGATGGCAACCATCCCTCTTCAACCAGCTGCCCGCTAACTCGCCGAGATCCCATGTGGCCGGATGCATCCCAGCACGCCTGGTTTCCCTCCCCCCTGTCCCATCTCTCCTGGCCTCGCATGCTCTCCTTTTCCCGGGCACGACCCACTGCATTGCCTCCTCAGCTGTCGGCCATCTGTCCAGCTCAGAGGCGGCTTCTCTGAACTTCTGGTGGCGGGCTGCGGAGCCCCAGAGTGCGCCAGTCAAGGGGCCGGCAGGCTGTGGCTGCTGACGGACACTGTTGGCCCCCACGCGCTCGCTGGCCTCTGTGTGCGGGGGCCGATGGTGTCAGGCAGCAGCCACCACAGCCCCTGCCTCGCCTTGCCCTGCAACAATGGCACCCCAGCCCTGCCTCGCCTTGCCTCACCTCACCCCACAGGACGAGCCTCCTGCCCACTGCCCACCTGCCAGAGACCCCCTGCCCACCTGCCAGAGACCCCCTGGACCTCCCCGAACTCTGCCCGGCCCCCACAGGCATCCCCCCCATGAGCAACATCGAGGTGGCCATGCCCACCCCAGCCATGCCCACACAGTCTGCCATGACAACTGGAGATCTCTAAAAGGTTCGCCATCACTGAACTAGGCTGTATCATTTTCCCTGACACTTTAACACTTTAGCGTGGTTTTAGTCAATAACAACAATGGACACTATATTCAGTTTCTATTTGTATACTCTTATATAGGATAGACAGAGATTCCAAGTAGGGCAAAAATATCTGGAATCTTTAAACTCAAAAACTAGGTACTTTTCTTCAAATTGGGCCTGTCCTAATGTACAAGATGGTCAATTTTTAAATCTCTCTCTGCAGATTGTTGTGAGCTGGCTGCCATTTAAAATGTTCCACAAAGCTCTGGAATCACATCATATCCAAGCATTATGGGTAATTAAAGTAGAAGATGAAAACGCTGCTTTCTGTCATTAGTGACAGCTTGTTGGTGGGCAATAACGTTGAGAAGAAGCTACCAATTGATACTTTTTGGGGGGAGCCCCATCAGACCTAAAGCTTACTACCTCAGCAGGAACTAGGCCTAACAAAAGATGTGTTAAATATTCTAATATTGACCCATGAGTGCCTTCATATTGTTTTTTCATATGTGAAATTAAAAAACAAACAAACCACACCATCAATTATTATTATTGGTTTGCATGAGGCTTTTACAGACTGTTGTTTGAGAACCTTGCATGTGTGTAAACATCGCACAGTTGTGAGTGTGCATATAATAACAGCACTAATGTACCATTTATATGTAAATCTTTCTTCTCTGGGCGGTTGGTCACTCTTCCCGTGTTATAGATAAGGTACAAAAGATTATAGATTATTATTTTGTTGTGATTCCGATAGATGAGACCAGTAAAAAGAGAACGCCAAGGCAAGAACATGTTCCTTAAAGAATATATTTATTGGCTACAAAATATCAGCACTTTCAAAAGTGAAATCAAGACTGAAGTCCCCCTCCAAGGTTACAATGTTACAAAGTTGATTTCCCCACCCCGGTAATATGTCATAAATCACATTCCCCAATAAACTACTTTGGTGGGCTTCCTAACTAAAACCTCAGCCCGCCAAAACTCAGACAACAATGACCTTGGTTCCCACAGAACAACTTATTGTTTTGACTAAACTAAAAAATACTCATCTCCCCTCCTAACTCTGCGGCAACTGAAAATGAAGTGGAATTGGCTTTAGCCAAATTCGTTTGCAGCGTTGACATATTTTTTTTTATAATCTTGAGAATTGAATATACTAAGCAGTTGAGATGTGTTTGAATATTAGTAGCTCGGGCTGGTAGTTGGGCTCTTGGTTTGATCTCCGAACTTGGCTTTTTGGCTGTAAAATTGCCAAGCTCAAGAGTTCAAACCAACAGCCCATACTAAGCAGTGTTAGGAAATAAATAGTATCTACAATAAAGCTTTGTTGATGCTTTCTTTCTCAAGTGTGCTTATCATGTGAGGAGAAAGAGAAGGAACAGGCTTAATGGCCTTAACTCCTGCCAGCCTAAGTTCTCTCGGTCAAGGGTGGAAGAAAAGTTCTGATGCAAGAAATTCATTTAGCGCCTCTTGTATGGTTGAACCTGCAAGGTATAAATCTTCTGAAGAACCTAAATCTTCCAGGGCTTCTCTGATCATTTTGTAGTAACAGGAGAAGGACCCAGAAGGCAGAGCCAGAGAGGAAGGTTCCACATCTCCCCCATGTATAACAGAGGATGAATCTTAGGACATTGAGACCAATTCTTTGCCCAATGTAGAACGCCCCCCACTAAGCGGCCATCCAGCTTCTGCATGGCCATATCGAGGAGAAAGTTCATTCCCCTTCTCAGAAATTAGGTCTGTCATTGAACTGCTTTTACCATTAGGAGGTTTTCATGGATAGAGATCTGAGATCTGTTAAGATTCGTGGAAAAATTATCTTTCGGTTGCTACTGTCCAAGATAGTTCAACGCAACTTCTGATTGCAAGCATGAAAGTGGCAATGTGTACCTAGTGTTTTGTTCCAAGAGTTGTTTAAAAATCCATGGTTTGGAGACCACAACACTTAGTCGGAAGGTGAAGCAGATTCACTATTAATTACGATTTGTGTAAGCCTGTGGCTAATTTCGCAGAAAATGGAATGACTCTTGATATTACATTCCAGAAAACATAGCACTATACTGTACAGGTAGTCCTTGACTTATGACTACAATTGAACCCAAAATTTCTGTTGCTAAGCGAGACGGCGTTAAATGAGTTTTATCCCATTTTACGACCTTTCTCGCCACAGTTGTTAAGGGAACCACTGCATTTGTTTAAGTGAGTAACAACAGTGTTACTAACAATTGGCTTCCTCGTTGACTTTGCCTGTCAGAAGGTTGCAGAAGGTGATCACGTGACCCTGGGATACTGCAACCGTCACAAGCCAGTTGCCAAGCATCTGAATTTTGATCACATGACCATGGGGATTCTGCAGCGGTCGTTAAGTGTGAAAAACGGTCATGTCACTTTTTCAGTGCCCTTGTAACTTTGAAGGGCCACTAAACGAACTGTTGTAAGTCAAGGACTAGTTGTACATGCATTCAAAAATGAATTTCAGCACACACACAATACTGGCGGAGGAACTCTGGGAGTTGAAGTCCACATATCTTAAAGTTGCTGAGGTGGAGAAACAGGGCCATATAGCAGTGGTTCTCAACCTTTTCTTCTCCATGGAACCCCTTTAAATATCTTTTGTGGCCACAGACCATGGCCATGGACCCCAAAGACTTAAATTAGAGCAGTTGGAGAGCAGTTGGAGGGCCAGCCGAACCGAATCCACTCGAACACAGGTAAAGATACATCTTAGATCTTACCTAGTGGCGCTGAGGGAGGCTAGGACTAACTACTATGCCTCACTCATCGCGTCATCAGATAACCGCCCTGCCGCCCTCTTCAGGGTGACCCGCTCTCTCCTTCAATCGGAGAGGGGGGGGAACCCCCTGGAGGGGAGGGCAGAGGACTTTGTGCAGTATCTGTATGACAAAGTCGCGCGGATTCGGGAAGGCTTGGACTCCGACTGGTTGGCCCAGGGGGAGGAGACGGGAGCAGGTCTTGAGACGGTTGTATGGGAGGAGTTTGACTCTGTTGCTCCTGAAGATGTGGACAGGGTCCTGGGGAGGCTGAATGCAACCACATGTTTATTAGATCCGTGCCCCTCCTGGCTGGTACTGGCAGCCAGGGAGGGGACACGAACATGGTTCCAGGGAATCGTTAACGCCTCTTTGCAGGAGGGTGTCTTCCCGGCAACCCTAAAGGAAGCCGTGGTGAGGCCCCTCCTCAAGAAGCCTTCCCTGGATCCAGACGAGTTGGCCAATTATCGCCCGGTCTCCAACCTTCGCTTTACGGCGAAGGTTGTTGAGAGTGTGGTTGCATGGCAGTTCCCGCGGCACCTGG